TAGATATTTATATAGAAATCAACATGACTTAAAGTGGGTGAAATGATGTTTTGGATCCCTGCTAACGGCATTTAAATAGTCTGAAAGTTTCGGCGAATTTCTCGTGCACTTAAGATTAGATGAATGAGATAGAGTTTTCGAATGAATATAAATAAGTCAATATGCGAATATATAAGAAAGCTTCAATGCTTTTTGTACGTCAATCTGACACTAGCTATAAAGTTTGATTGGAAAAACCTAATCGGACACCCACTTCAAATTTCAGTGATTTGCTTTAATATGAGAGTAGCATTATTAAACAATTTCCAACAACACGCCTGCTATAGACGTGGCTACAGATAATATATGTATGTACATGATGTGCAATCTGACAAAATTATATAAGAACATATAATATTTATCTTAAGTATCTCCCAGTGACATATCCATATAATCAGAGCTGTAGGAATGGAAAATGCGAAAATACGCTTTTAAATTAATATATAAAAACATTGGATATAAGACAGATTTACTTTGATATGAAATATATTCAGAAAAATAAAAATGATGTACGTATGTTTGTACATATGTATATTTTCATCATAGGTTTTCTTGAAAACATTTTAGATCAATTCGCACAATTAGCATTTAGTAGTTGTTATGAATGAAACTTGCATAAGATATTATTTTTGTGTATATTAATAGCTACTATTTGCCTTCTTTTTAATGGGCATCAACTAGTCGTATATTATAGTGCCACAATGTTTATATACTTGTAATTTCTCAAATAGTCTCTTGATGTGTGTGGGCGGGCGCGAGTAACTATCATATAAAAATACAAGTGCAAGTGTAATCGGCTGAAAATGAGTGTGAATGGCAGAATCAAAAAGAACACCAATTTAAAATTATCGTTACTTTTCTCCATTCTCACTCGTTTCTTGCTGATTGATGGATCATAAAAGCCTTCAGCTCGGATCTTTTGCTACATACTTAGTTGAAAACTGCTTTGCCTCTGCACGTCAGTTAATTTTTCTTTTGATAGTCAAAGCTCTCTCGCTCTCTTTCTCACGCCGACTCTCTCTCGCCGAAAAAGCTTTACGTATTTCTTGAGCGTGAATGTGTCTGTATATCTTCGACTGTTTGCGTGAGGTACGTCACATGAATAACCACATACATACATAAATGCGTATATGCAGTGTCTGCATACATCCGTATACATGTGTATGCGTGTATATATACGCACATATGAATGTATATGTTGGTATTTTTGTTTTTGTTTTGAATCATACTCAGCTTTGAGTGACGCCAAAGATCATGTATGTAAATACATACATGTATAAATGTATATTCATATATGTACATCACACTTTATGTACGAATCAAACTATATTATTGGGTGTGTCATTCTTAGCTCTGTTGCTTTCAAGATTAAACTATGCCCGTTCCACAGTGTTCAGTACAAGCTGAAAAATTAAACAAGAAAAAAAATTGCCTGAGCGAAGCGCGCGCTAGAACTTATCCAATATACAATGCCGCTCGACCCAGCCAATGGTCGAAAGCTTGTTTTAGTATTAAGTTCCACTTCATTCGTGTGGTCACCGTCGCGTTCGCCGTTGTCGCCGTTGTCGCTGTTATTGTTCATTGCTCGCCAACGGTACTGTTGTTATCGACAAACAATAGTTGTTAGCAATGCACATTTATTCGATTATTTTTACTTCAGTGTCATTGCTGCTTTCACTAAGCGCTGCTTAAATTCTAAAAAGAAAAACAAAAAGTAAAAAGTGTGCATTCTTCAACAATTAGATTTGGTTTAATTCAAGTGCAAGAACGTGCTGATAAGAGTCATATATTTATTAGGCTCACAATTTATAATTGCCGAATGAAAATTTTAAATAATTAATTACATACATATGTATGTAGAAATGTATGCCTCTACATGTGTATGTGTTTTACTCATCTATATGCATTTACATACATATATAAATATGTACATTGTTGAGTAATTTGTGTTAAATACGTATTTGTTTTGGCTTGATTGTCATTGTACTCTAGTCTCAGCAGCTGAATCAGAAGCAGAAGCTCTCAGCTCGCATCCGACTAAGCCAAATCAATTGCGAATGATAAGTTAATTTAATTATACGCTGCTTACATATGCACATGAGTATATATACGCATATATATATATGTATACAAACAAAAAGAAATATAGTGTGCTGCAATACAAACAGTTAAACAAAAAAAAGAAAAGAACCGATAAAAATAAAGAAAATCATCACAAATTCCTACACACACAGTACACAGACAATGTATATGTGTGTGCGTAACTTTGACTTTGCATGTGTGTGAATGAGACGCAAGCAGCAAGTGAAGCTTTAATACAATACAAACGAGCTAACCAGAAGAATAGCAACAGCAGCAACAATATCAGAGTGATTAAGTAAATGAGCGAAATAAGAGTGAAAAGGCAAAGTAGAATACTAAGAGAAGAGAAGAAAAAAAAAAAAAAACAAAAACGTGCCGAGCTTTTTTAAAACTTGTGTTGTCACAAATGTGGGGCTTCATCGTCTCTGCTTCTATTTCGGTTTTCGTTGTCGTTGTCTCATTTTATCTCTGTATTTCGGGCGTGCGCGAGCGCGACTAACGCGTTCCACCTTCATAAGTGTGTGGAATGCATTTATGACTGTGTGCGTGAGTGTGTGGACCTTACATTCGTTCTTTAAGCTTAAAAGCTTTTTTTTACCATACATTCGTACATTCATAAATTATAATGTATAAAAGGTTTAAAATAAAATGCATGCGTCTGTGTGACTGAGTGCGTGTGTGTGCTAGAAATGCGATACTCGGCAAAAGATAAGACAACGCTGTGTAATTTTTGATAGAGCTCATCCTCATGTGAGAGACCCCTAACAGAAATTGCAAACAAAATTAAGTAAATAGCCTGCATAGGAAATACATGTAATGTGACGACGCAAATTAAAATCTGTTTAAAATCGTGTATGCAAATTAAGGTTAGGCCTTCAGATTAACTGACGACTGAAACTGTCTTTAGTATTCATTGGACCTAAAAATAAAATAATTTAAAAAAGCTGCTCTGCAAGATGGATAACAAAGCATCAGCTGGATTGTGAATTTGTTACCGACTTTTGGCACACATACAAATACAAATATACATGTATTGCAGCATACACACATACATACATATGTAGGAGAGAATTAAATGATTGTTCAAATTAAATTCATTCAATTCGTTGTGATGTGCCCGGAGAGTTCGCGACGCGTTTGAATGTCTGAAATAAATAACAAAAAAATCCGACTAAAATTTTGGCAATTGCAAAAAAGTCAGGCAGCAACATGGGTCAGACATCGAGTCATAGGCAAAGCCTGACGTGCAGCCACAATCACAATAACAACAACAACAAGGACGACTCGAGTGCGAACGCCATTGCCTCAGCTCAGTTTGCCAGCAGACGGACATCGGCACGCAAGTCGAAATCATCATCGAAACACTATTCACCGTTACAAAAAGATGAGCTTTCAATATTACGCGATTCTTTGCTACGCAACGGCAGTATTATGCGCAAGAGCATGACCGATCCACAACGTCGGCCGGTCACCATAAGCGAGCTAACAACGAGCCAAGCTCAAGCTCAAGCACAAGCACAAGCATCGAACGCCGGCTCCGAGGATTTGCTTGTGAGAGAGCGCAGAGAGAGCTTTCAGCTGCCCATTGAGTGCAGTGCCAAAGTGGAGGATGTCGCAACGGCATCCGCACCGCGCACTGAGAATCGCAATGAATTTTACATTGTGGGAGATGGGTATCATAAGACGGACTATTGCCATTATCGCACGCCCAATGGTAATTTTCACAAACTACCCTCAGATTCGTTTCACAAAATGTCCGAGGGCTGCTTTGTGCGCATGCCCGATGGCGTATTCCGTCGCCTAGAAGTACCAAAAGCTCAACAGATATCACGTCGTGCCTCCAAGCTGGACGATATCACGGGCACTGAGAGCAATGATAATGGCTTGGGCGGTGCTACCAGTGTCAAAAAACAGCTATTAAACTTTCTGAAGAGATCGAAGAGTCATACACCTGCTACAATAGCTAAGCTACAGAAGGACAAGGACGATGCTCGACTTGAGCGCAAGCAACGTCTGTCGAATGCTATGCGACAGAGAGCGCTAGAATTGAAAACATCGTCTTCAGCGACAGCTGCCAGACTCAACAATCCGAACAATAAAATCGTAGTTACTATGATTGAGAACGGAGGTCTACCGATCGTGGCCACCAGCAAACCCGATCGACCCAAAAACAAGGATACCGCATCAATAGTTGCTGATAAGGCGCGTACCTCAAGGGTATGTACTGAACAACGTGTAGCGGGGGCTTTAGAAAGTATTTGAAACTAGATTAATTATATTTGCATACATATTTGTATACCCTGCGCCCGTGCAAATATGTTTGAAAATCCCTTTTTATATTGCCCAATAACAAATTTATTTCTTCTATAACAACTATGGAAAATGTTTTTTCTAA